AATTGAAAATCCTTTGAAGCTTTCTCCTGTGTTCATCATTCGTCTTCATCGTGTTCTTATCAATTTCTACATGTTTGATTTATTATCTTTTCCGCTGCACTATATATGTCAAACCAATCATTCAAGTAAGTAATCTTTACCAAGAAATAGAGTTATTCGGTCCTAACAACATGTATATATCTCAGGTGTCTTTTGTCAGTAGACGAGTGAATGGAGAAAGACGGGACTATGTTTTGAATCATGCTTGATTAGATATTTTAATTAGCATTGATTACGTTAAAGTACTTTACGCTTCCGCAATTATGTAACGAATTATGTTAAATACATTATGTGTGTTTGAAATTTTAAGTTCGTATTTTTGTTCACGACATAAGTTATTAAGAATGACGTCACGGCACTCGAAAGAAAAAAAATCGGGGCGTGACAAGTTGGTATCAAAGCTTTAGTTTAGGAGAAATAGGTTAAGACTTCTTTTAGCCTAAGCTTAAACTTTATGTGGATTCTAGAACATGAGAATTTGGGGTATTACATTTTTTTATCACAAGGAAGTTTGATTTTTAACAATAGGTGACGTAGTGTTTTCCTTATGGTCTGTAGGAAAATGGTGCACACTATACACACTAGGGCCATCAACCAAGGGATAGGACGCGGGCGTGGGCCCAGAGGGCGGAGGACACCATATGGGCTAGGCCCAAATGGCGGGTCAGTGGATAGTCATCGCTCTAGTGAAAGCCATGGTGTGGGACACAATTCGGGACGAGGCACTCCGAGTGGCAACCTAATACCCCCACAGGATACGTTATCACAAGGATCGATCCAAGAGGAGACCTCGTATGAGCCATCCGAAGATTACACGCCAAGCTCTCCTACACGCTCAAATTTGGAAGAAAAGATAGTGGCCCTTCAAGGAACAATTGATGAGTCAAATGATAGATTGTCCCGATCCTTAAGAGAAAATGAGAAGATGAGTAAATGGCTTGATAATTTGCAAAGGGCATACCTCAAGGCACTAACTGAAAATGATAACCTGCTGGAGGAATGACACATGTTGAGGTTGCAATTAGCGCAAGAGCGAAGAATAGCCGCTAGGACTTGGACTATGTGTATTGGAGATAGGTCTCGTTTCTATAAAAGAGTAACCACAAATTATGTAGGTATTGTGAAAGGGTACCTTACCGCCTGGGTCCAGTGCTACAAAAGGGATCCAAGAGTTAGCACACTGTGGCGTTTCCAGCCATCTGTAACTTTTGAACAATGGATGAGGGACCCATACCTCCCTGATATGCCTTAGAAGTGAGGTTTGCCTACGAGAGAGAGACCTAAAAGTTCATTCCTATATTTAGCTATTCAACTATGCTTATAGCTGATCTAGTACATTTTGGGATACTTTTGATAGTTGACATTTTGGAGACATGTTCTAGTTGTTCAACATATCCCAAATTTTTGTGATGTAATAGGAATTTTTGTAACAACTTTCTCCCTCTCGAGTAATACATGGTACGTGACATTACGTCACATTATGTTATAAAATTTTTCATGCTTGACCCAAGCATCTAGAAGTGTATTAAGTGATAATAAATTTATGCATAATTGCCGACCTAAGTTTTACTTGATAATTATAGAATATCTAACTACAAGAAAAGCATCAATCGCGGTCAGAAATAAACAGATCTCAAAGACTCTAAAAACATTACACTAATTAGGACTACGAACTTTACAAGGATGAATGAGAAGTATATGGTACCTTATTACTCGTGTGCGGTACTTGGTCTAAATTATTTGGAAAGTGATATATGATACTTGTGTAAATGATACTATATGGCAAAATTGGTTGGTAATGAGGCGAGTCCCAACCATTGAGCAAGGAAGGAAAAGATGGAGATTTTACTTTTTACGCATAGCAATGTATATGTATATATATTGCTATATATATATATATAATAAAATAATATGCATAAGCATGTTAATGGTCGGAATGTTCATTACTATAGAATGTCGAAGAGAGTGACAATGTCGATGAATATTAATGGTCGTGAAGATAATCGAGTCGAGGGTGTGACTTCAACGCCAACTGAAAGCCGGAGCGGTCCCAATAGACCAACGATTCAGCTCGCACACCCAGAAGTGAACATCGCCAAGGAGATGGAATGTTGTATGCACGTTGTTTTGCCTGGAATGCTTGAATGCATTCAAACTGCAACACTTAAGATGGTTGATGCTCATTTGAAGCATACCGAACCACCGAGAAGTAAAACCCATGAAGTTAAAGAGTCATCTAAGAATGAATCTCACAATCATGAGGAGTCAAATGGGGAGGCATTCTTCGACCATAATGAGGTTAAGAAACCTAGTGGTAAGGGATGTAGTTACAAATCCTTCACCAGCACCTATCCATCGGTTTTCGAGGGCAAAAATGGACCACTAGCAGCTATGAACTGGCTCGATGAGATGGAGAGTTGTTTCCTGACATGTCATTGTGCACCAAATCATATGGTGCAGTTTGTATCAACCAAGTTTAAATCGAATGCCTTGCAATGGTGGAAATCAATTAGAGCCACTAGGGGACTATCGGGGACTGCATCTCTCACTTGGGAGGAATTCAAGGAGTTAATGAGCGAAAAGTTTTTCTCACCACTCTAGTTGAGAATATTAGAAAATGAGTTCCTACAATTGGAGCAGAAAAACATGACCGTGGAGAAATATGTGGAGATCTTTATCGAGAAGTCACGATTTGCAGAGCATCAGTGAATACCGAGATAAGGAAAGTGAATCGGTTTGTTGATGGACTGAAAAGGGAACTTAGGAGGCTTGTTGGAATGTCAAAACCCACTACCTTTCAAGATGCGGTCGAATTGGTCACCCTTGCTGAAAAAGACAATTATGTCCCTGATACATCTAAGAAGAGAAGGATCAACCAAGCTAGCCCGGGAAAATTCAATAGAATTCAAGTCTTGGGGGGGGAAAGTGGGGCAATAACTGCATGCGCCACATGTGGAAGGAACCATTCAGGTGAATGCAGATATGGCAAGGGAGTTTGCTTTACTTGTGAAAAACCTGGGCACATGTCAAAAGAATGCAAGGCTAGACCAATCTGCTACTCGTGTGGTGATCCCGAACATCGCCAAAGGGAATGCCCCAAGAAGAACACAGAGCCACAAAGGTTGCTCGGAGGATCAAGCGAAAAGAAGCCTGAGGCGCCAAAAGTGAAGGGTCGAGTCTTTCAGATGACTGTAAAAGAAGCAAAGGGCACCCCCGATGTAGTGACAGGTACATTTCTAGTCAACAAAATACCTGCAAGAGTGTTATTTGATTCGGGTGCAAATAAATCTTTCGTCTCCACTAAGTTTTGCATACGATTGGGAAGGTCACCTATATTACTTAGTCAAAACTTAGAGGTCGAAACTGCTAATGGTGACATCACCATGGTGCGAGAGTGTTTTGATAACTGCATAATAGAAATTGAGGGTCAAGACTTTGAGGTCCACTTATTACCTATGGGCATTAGAGAATTCGATGTTGTCATAGGAATGGACTGGTTTTCTAAACATCAGGCTCACATTATTTTCTTCAAGAAACTAATTCGAGTGAGAAATAAAGATGGGAATGAGATCACTGTGTACGGTAGTCGGCCTGGCAATCACGTTAACCTCATATCTGTGATCAAAGCTAGAAGATGTATTCGTAAAGGATGCGAGACGTACTTAGCATATGTTATAAATGCTAAAATGGAAAAGGGATCTATAGAGGAGGTCCCAGTGGTTTGGGAATTCCCTTATGTGTTTCCTGATGACCTACCTGGGGTACCTCCTGAAAGACAAGTCGAGTTTAGGATTGAATTAACACCCGGAGCCACACCGATTGCTAAGTCACCTTACCGACTAGCACCATCGGAAATGCAAGAACTGATGAACCAAATCCAAGAATTGTTGGATAAAGGGTTCATCCGACCGAGTTCGTCCCCATAGGGAGCACCAGTGCTATTTGTGAAAAAGAAAGATGGATCAATGCGCATGTGCATCGACTATAGGGAGTTGAATAAGGCGACAATAATGAATAGATACCCACTACCTTGAATAGATGACTTATTCGATCAACTACAAGGAGCAAGTTACTTCTCAAAGATCGACCTACGATCAGGCTACCACCAGTTGCAGTTTCATGAAGAATATGTCCCAAAGACGGCGTTTAGAACTCGTTATGGGCATTACGAGTTTTTGGTCATGCCTTTCAGTTTGACCAACGCCCCCACGGTATTCATAGACTTGATGAATCGAATATGCAAGCCCTATTTAGACAAATTCATCATTGTCTTCATCGATGACATTCTCATATACTCAAGAAACAAAGAAGAGCATGAGTGTCACCTACGTACAATAATGGAATTACTAAGAAAAGAGAAGTTGTATGCCAAATTCTCCAAATGTGAGTTTTGGATCCGTGAAGTACAATTTCTCGGGCACATGATCAACCAAAAGGGTATCATGGTGGACCCAAGCAAGGTAGAAGCAGTAATGAAATGGGAAACTCCAAGATCAGCAACGGAGATAAGGAGCTTCCTAGGATTGGCCGGTTACTATCGAAGATTCATAAAGGATTTCTCAAGAATAGCCCTCCCTCTAACATCTATAACGAAAAAGTCAAGCAAGTATGTGTGGGGGCCAAAACAAGAGGATGCTTTTCAGACCTTAAAAGAAAAACTTTGTAGCGCTCCAATTTTATCATTACCTGAAGGCTCAGAGGACTTCATAGTATATAGTGACGCATCCATCAAGGTTTAGGATGTGTACTTATGCAATGAGAAAAAGTGATTGCCTATGCATCACGACAGTTAAAAGATCACGAAAAACGCTACCCAACTCATGACCTAGAGCTAGCGGCAGTGGTGTTCGCATTAAAAATATGGCGACACTACTTGTATGGAACTCGATGTGTGATCTTCTCAGATCATAAAAGCCTAAAATACTTGTTTGATCAAAAAGAGTTAAACATGAGACAAAGAAGATGGATGGAGCTACTAAAGGATTACGACTGTGAGATACGTTACCACCCAGGAAAAGCCAACGTGGTAGCTGATGCTTTGAGTCGCAAGGATCACATAGCACCCATCCAGATAAAGGCTATGAGCTTAAGAGCTACCACAAGTTTGATTGAAAAGTTATTAGAGGCCCAAAAGGACGGTTTAATGAGGGAGAATCAAAAGACTGAGAGGATTGTGGGTCAAGCACAATTCCTCGTAGATGACACCCAAGGGTTGAAACGATTTCAAGGTAGAATATGGGTCCCAAATGTTGGACCGTGTAGGGACATTATTTTAGATGAGGCTCATAAGTCAAGATACTCAATTCACCCGGGAACAAACAAAATGTAAAGAGATTTAAGAGCCTTGTATTGGTCGCCAGGAATGAAGAAAGCCATTGGCAACTATGTGGAACAGTGTCTAACTTGCCTGAAGGTCAAAATAGAACATCAACGACCATATGGACAATTACAATCTATGGAAATCCCAGTTTGGAAATGGGATCACATCACCATGGACTTTGTGACAAAGTTACCTAAGACCTTACGAAGCCATGATGCAATTTGGGTAATAGTGGATCGATTAACGAAATCCGCTCACTTTTTGCCAATAAAGGAAACATACACTTTGGATAAGTTTGCCAAGTTGTATATCGACGAGATTGTCTCTCGTCATGGAGTACCGTTGTCCATCATCTCCGATAGGGATATTCGATTCACTTCCAACTTCTGGAAGACTTTTCAGCAGGAGTTAGGTTCGAGAATCAAGCTTAGTACGGCTTACCACCCACAGACCGACGGACAAAGTGAGAGAACCATTCAAACACTCGAAGATATGTTAAGGGCGTGTGTTGTCGACCTAGGTGGAAATTGGGATAACCACTTACCCTTGATAGAATTCGCCTACAACAACAGTTACCATAGTAGCATCCAAGCAGCACCATTCGAGGTGTTATATGGGAGGAAGTGTAAAACACCAGTTTGCTGTGAAGAAGTTGAAGAGAAGCAGTTAGCTGGGCCAGAGTTAATCCAACAAACATCCGATAAGGTAGTCCAAATTAGAGAGCGACTAAAGGTTGCTCAAGATCGGCAAAAGAGCTATACTGATAAAAGGAGGAAACCAATTGAATTTCAAAAGGATGATAAAGTAATGTTGAAGGTATCACCTTGGAAGGGCTTACTTAGGTTTGGAAAGAAAGGAAAGTTGAGACCACGTTACATAGGACCATTTCGAATTATAAACCGAGTGGGAGCAGTAGCGTACCGACTAGAATTACCTAATGAGCTTCAGGGGATTCATAATACATTTCATGTGTCGAATCTAAAGAAATGTTTAGCCAAAGAGGATGTTGTGGTTTCACTGGATGAGGTAAACATAAACGAGAGGTTAAGCTTCATTGAAGAGCCGGAACGCATATCGCATCGAAAGATTAAAACACTAAGAAACAAGGAACTTCCGTTGGTATTGGTACATTGGAAGTTTCACAAAGACCCCGAAGCAACTTGGGAACCTTAAACCGAGATGAGATCTAAGTACCCCCCAGCTGTTTAACTAGGTTGAAATTTCGAGGACGAAATTTTCTTTCAAGAGGGGGAGAGTTGTAAAACCCAAAATTTTAAATATATATATATATATATTGTACGAGTCTTGAAATATATAATTTTTATTTATTAAATTTATTTGAGGTGTTAAAATATTTATGTGGTTAGTTAAGGAAATAATTATCGAAATCTTAAAATAAGTTAAAATCGGACCAAAAGTGAAAGAAAAAGTCGGGACATGGGTGAAAGCTGTAAATTTGCGATAGTTAAGGGGTTGGGTCAGATGTAAGCAGGTCCAAATCAGAAGGACCTGTTTTGTAAATGTGCATTAGACCTACAAGCGCAGAAGTGCGAAAACGACCTCTGTTGGGTCAGATGTGAGCAGGTCCAAATCAAAAGGACTTGTTTTGTAAATATGCATCAGACCTGCAAATGTAAAAGGACCTGTTTTCTAAATATGCAGCAAATCTGCAAATTCAGAGATACGAAACCGACCTCTCCTTTGAAGCTCCCTATTGGTCTAATTATTCAACTATTACGACAAAAATCTCAATATATAAATAGGCTACACTTTGCTCTAGAGTTTTCATCCAAACTTTCATTGAGAATCGGGAGAGAAATCGGAGCTCGAAAGTCCCCATCTGAAATCTTCGTTTTTCGTCGATTAGAGGTAAAATACTCAACTAGCATTCATGTTTTTATGGTTAGCTTCGTTTTTAGGTCCTCTGTAAAACCCTTAATTTCGTTAAGTGTCCGTGTAGGACCAGAGGC